ATGTATGAGAGTTATCTAATGAAAAGTGACATGGCAGAAATAACTGATACTGTTATGACACTGCAGACATATTAAAAGAGCATTACTGGGGATTACACGAGGGAGCAGACATTTGAGGACAAGCGTGATCCGCAACATCTTTGAGCTGTAAACATCGGATCAATACAGTGGGAGGCTTTTTATACATTTTTAGAATGTGTATTTTAAATAAAACTGCGAAATTTCAAGAAATTTGTAATATTTGTACATGTCGACCTTGTAGCTAATAACAAACCTTCGAACTTGGTTTTTTTACTTGTAAAGCACCATCGTGGCCATAGTTGCATGAAAAAGCCAGATCTGTCAGACCTCTGTAGCTGAGCGAGGAAGAGCCTGGTTAGTACTGTGATGGGAGACCTCGGGGAACACCAGTGGGGCTGAATGAATGAATAAAGGAAATAATCAAGGTAAAATCATATGTCTACAGCAGCTGGAATATCTTTTGATGCTAGGGTCTGGTGAATCAATCTCCTCAAAACATTGTATAATGAGATTGTCCAGTATTGAAAGAAGAATTATGCATTAAAACATTATCCCTACAACCAGAAAGATCCTGGTGTTGTCTATAATAGGTTCATCAATTGTATATCAGGCACATGCTCTTAGCTCACTTTACGGTCCGTGTACGTCGCGGCCATTCTATTTTTGATTAGGAAAGAAAATACAAAAAACGAATATTGGCCGTTTCCCGTTTTCAAAATAAAATGTAGAAAACGAGAATTTAATCCGTTTTTCGATTTTGTGTTTTAAAATTAAAAAACGGATAACGAAAAACAGGTCATAATCCGTTTTTCCATTACACATTTACACAAGAAACACCAACATCGAAAAACCACGGCAAAAATTTGATTTTCCATTCTTGATCTTATTTTGAAGCTGACCCGGAATCTGTTAACCATGCCTACCACTATGCCACTAAGCGGCCGAAGTCACTCTACTTTGTGAGAAGACGTCAGCTGTTACAGTGGCTAACCATCTTCTCACATTTCGCTCTGAGAAACCCACAGTTGGACCAAACTGTGCAGTTAGCGCGTTGGCGATCTCACCACAAGCCATACCACTCATCCTTCTCTCTATAATAAAGTCGGCGAAACTATTTAAGGCCATTTGAAAACTTATTAAAGTAGAAAAAAAGACAAATTAGTTAGCCACTGTAACAGCTGACGTCTTCTCACAAAGTAGAGTGACTTCGGCCGCTTAGTGGCATAGTGGTAGGCATGGTTAACAGATTCCGGGTCAGCTTCAAAATAAGATCAAGAATGGAAAATCAAATTTTTGCCGTGGTTTTTCGATGTTGGTGTTTCTTGTGTAAATGTGTAATGGAAAAACGGATTATGACCTGTTTTTCGTTATCCGTTTTTTAATTTTAAAACACAAAATCGAAAAACGGATTAAATTCTCGTTTTCTACATTTTATTTTGAAAACGGAAAACGGGAAACGGCCAATATTCGTTTTTTGTATTTTCTTTCCTAATCAAAAATAGAATGGCCGCGACGTACACGGACCCTTTACCTACAATGAATCTTTTCAGCAATATTCCTGACTGATTGGTACATTTCACAGAAAACTATAAAACTTCAAAATCTTGTACCTTCAGAACATTTTGACTAGTGCAGAAACAACTAATCGATTAATCGACGACTAATCGATTATTGAAATAGTCGACAACTATTTTAGTAATCGATTAATCGTTTTCTGGTTCACACGGACTCAAACAGAGCAAAAATTACATGAAAATGTAGTATTTTTGATTAAAACCGACTTTGTTTTTATAATTTCATAAATATCTGTCTGTCTCATCCAATCAGATAGCAGAATTAGCACAAAGAGCCTGTTACAAACATTTACATTAAGTTTACGCCATCAACACGTCTTCGAGTGTTGCCACTTTAGCTTTTTGTGATGAAAAAATATATTTTTTTCTACACAATTCACAGCCAAGCGATTACTCGATTAATCGTAAAAATAATCGATAGATTAATCGATTACAAAATAATCGTTAGTTGCAGCTCTAATTTTGACCCTGTTATGACACACACAAGCAACCGTACTGCTAACACTTTATTTTATGTTATATGAAATGTTTGTATGTTGTGTTGGGGACGCCTCTTTGCCAGAACTTTCCATTTTAGGCAAGGCAAGGCAAGTTTATTTGTATAGCACAATTCATACACAAGGCAACTCAAAGTGCTGAACAAAACAAGAAAGCATTAAAATCATAAATTATCACAGTACATCAAAAAGAAAGATAAACATATTAAATCCCTCAGTTGTATGCACAGCTAAACAGAACTGTCTTTAACCTGGTTTTAAACACCAATGGGATGCACTGATACCGCTTTCTTCAAAACCGATGCGAGTACGAGTACTTTCAGTAATTTTATACTATTACCGTTATCGGTGCATCCCTACCCACACTTCGTATCTTTTCTCAACATTTTGATAGGGTCTTCCTACCATCACCTCTACGCAGTGTCACCTCAATCTGTCCAGCAGTTTTTGCGCAATTCTACCCATAGACAAACACACACCATTACAATACCTCCCCGTTGGCTGGATACCTATCTGTGAAAAACGCTAGCACACAGTCACTTACAACATACCTACCCAAGATGGTGATACCAGTCCAGTCCATCTGCTCTGTGTTTTAGAGAAATTACTTCGATCTCTAGGCCGATAGTGAGCAGTGAGTATAGTGGTGTCGTTGGAACGTTATGCTACTTCTCTGTCACAGCAGTTTCTCTTTTCCTTCACTTGTGCACAGTCCTGGGAACAAACACTGCAGTGCACTTTGATTCTCTATTTGGCACTTTTATGGTGATTTGGCTTCAGAGTACGACTGAGCTCTCTCTCGCTCTCTCCTTCGCTCCTCAAGCTGCATTTCTTTGATGAAAATTTAGAAAAAATACACAATCTGCCATGGTCTATCAACGTGATATAGGGCTGGAATGAATGGTTAGTTTGATTATTCTTTTTATTTTGAAGCTAAGCAACCCTAACCCTAACCCTTAGGCAAGACACCTACATTGCCTAGAATGAGTCTGATGTGTGCGTGAATGTTTGGTGGTGGTCGGAGGGGCTGAAGGCACGTACGGGTTGCCTCGCTGTCCCAGGGCAGCTGTGGCTATGAATGTATTATAAGAGAACCTTTACAGAGTGAATGAATGATGACTACAGTTCTGTGAGTGTCCAAATTGTAGTCCGTAATCTGTTGTAATCTGTAGTCCTCTGAGTGATAAAACGTCTATGTCTATATAACTTGGCTCAAAAAGCGACAAATACATCGCTAAATTAGTTACTTTCGTTAAGTTACGATTTTGTTACAGCCCTAAAATGATGGCATGCTAATTAGAAAAGCACTGATAGAAAACTAGTAAAAACTGGAACAGTCTTTCTAAAATATGGGGAAAAAGCCTTGTTTTCCTTTAAGATAAGATAAACACTTAACACTTGAACACTTCTTAACCTGTCCCCCCGCCCTTTATAAAGTCACTTTACTGCCCATCATACGTCACTTTACTTCACTGTACTGCTGTCACCTTACATTGTGTGCACCATGTGCACTTGTATATTGTAAATAGTAACTGTAACTCTATTTTACATTTAAATTTATTCTTTAGAAGTGTTTTTTATTCTTATTTTTATTATCTCTTTTTGACTGTTGCACTGAGCCAAAGCAATTTCCTAGTCTGTGACCTCCTTTTACTTACGTGGCAATAAAAATGATTCTGATTCTGATTCTGATGATTCTGATAAGAATTCCTTTATTCGTCCCACAGGGGAAATGTTGATGTTGCAGCGCACATATAGGACAGTAGTAAGAGCACACAGGGAGCACACACAATATTTACAAATAAGTAGTAGCTATGTTTCTTAACTAACATAACTAGCTGTAGATGCTGAAAATGCTTCAATACCAGTCAAAATATATATGTAGTAGTGCAGTTATATACTGTACAGTTAAATAGTGCAGGATAATAAGTAGATAAGGTAAAGTGAAATTGTTCTGTGACATTCTGAAGTTGCAGTATTGCACATTGCACATGATTTAAGAATTTACTTAATTACAGATGAATGAAATTTACAGGCTCAGCAGTTTTTATTGTACAATCTGGCAGCAGCAGGAAGGAAAGACCTACGGAACCTCTCCTTCACACAGCGAGGGTGAATTAGTCTGTCACTGAAACTGCTCTCCAGAGCAGAGAGAGTGTCCTGCAGGGGGCGACAGTCATGGTCCAGCATAGATGTTAGTTTGCTCAGGACCCTCCTGTCCCCCACCTGCTGCACTGTGTCCAGGGAACAGCCTAGGACTGAGCTGGACTTCCTGATGACCTTGTCCAGCTTCTTCCTGTCCCTCTCTGTGATGCTGCTGCTCCAGCAGACCACACCGTACAAGATGGCTGATGCCACCACAGAGTCATAGAAGGTCTTCAGGAGTGGCCCCTGCACTCCAAAAGACCTGAGCCTCCTCAGCAGGTAGAGGCAGCTCTGGCCCTTCTTGAAGAGGGCGTCTGTGTTATGAGTCCAGTCCAGTTTGTGGTTCAGATGAACACCCAGGTACTTGTTTATTGTTTTGTTAGGCACTTTGAGTTGCCTTGCGAATGAACTCTGCTATACAAATAAACTTGCCTTGCCTTGCCTTGGTATCAGATATTGGTGCTGATACTGGACATTTTGTAGTATTGGTTTTTATGACATTAGTTCTCTCCATATATTGTGGAGGCCTTTAAAGTCAATGTCTGCAACTTGTATATTTCTGAACATGGGACACTGTATTTTTAAATGATTTTCATATCATTCTAATGCAATCTATGTCTTGAGTCTTTCACAGACATACACACACAGCTGGTTGTGACTGAAGAAGGCATTATTCCTCACTGCCATCTATAACTTATACCATCCCGCCACTAAACCATTCATATCCTGTCCTATTTTCAAAAGTCACTGCGTCTTCCCGTAGGTTTGTCCGTGTCCAGTCCCGAGACGGATGAGGAGCGATGGGGCGTCCGCAGGCTGCTCCAGGAAGCGGACAACGGTAGCCTGGATTCTCTACAGGACGAGGGACCTAAAAACTGCACCGCCCCAGGTAAAAAAAAAAAGCCACCGCAAAACCACCTCTCATTCCCCCACACGCCTGTCCCACATGCAACATAGGGCCGACATGAAACAACGGGGTAATAAATAGAGCCCTTACATGCTTTGTCCCAATACCCTTGCCCCATCCTATGCACTGTCCTAGATCGTGTCCCGTGGTGTAATAGCCGGTCCTGACATTCTCCCTGCATCAGCTGGTCTCGCTCGTTCGTATCTAAAGCTTGTATTTCCTATCGTTTTCGTCCAATTCTGTGTCAAGGTTTTACAGCAAGATTATGTGTTATGTTTTGTCTTTTAAATCAGATAATTTTTTGGTTGCTGGTTAGATATAATCTCGGCCATAGATACTGTAATTTACATACTGTTGATTTTACTAAGCCAGTGTTAGTAAAAAGCTGTTTTAAGAAGATTTGGATTGTTGTTGCTCAGAAACAGTGAAAATATTACACAAATCAAACACCTTTTGGAGCTATCTTAGTGGCGAGAGTCTGGACTGCTTCTCAATGGATAATGATAATGGGATACCTGCTAAAGGAACTTAGAAAATAGCTAATACAATTTATGTCATGTGAAAAATATCTCTTGATCTTACCGTACATTAGGGACCGGTGCTATGAGCATTGGGTGGCAGCTGTCATTGCCACCCCTCCGACCTAGACATGGACTAATAAAGGGGTTGAAAATGAATGAATGAATGAATAACCATACGTATTTTATTTCCTATAACCCACTCAATGATTGTTGTCTTTGTCTTTCCTGGTTTGATTGGAAAGAATTTATGGAGAGTTGGACAATCATAGGTTGTGCCCAGGTTAAGTTTTGTGGATATATATCAGCATTGCACTCTTCTTTCCTGGTTTTAGATTTTTAGTTGTGTACGTGTGTGTGCGCTCAATCGTGAAGCGTCTTTGAGTTTTTGAAAAGCGCGATATAAAACCGATGTATTATTATCATCATTATTATTATTATCTGATTCCATTGTTATAATTATTGTTAGAAAATAATAATACGTAAAGTGTGAAGCCATGTTGTGTTGCAAGAGTGATCTGCCTATTCTTAGAGCAAAAACAGCAGGAATATCTAATAACATAATGCTTTTGTTACTCCTGAGTTTTCTGAATATTTGACGTCAACCAAAATTGTCACCGACTGTGTGCGTGATGAGATCAATAATATCTTTCGATGCTTAAGTGTGGTGAATTCATCTCATCAAAACTTTGTATAAGGATTTTTTCCACTATTGAAAGAAGCATTATTCATAAAACTATCTTCCTTAGAGTCAGAATGATGGACTGGTTGTGTCTATAGCTTTATTACTACTCTTAGCTCCCTTTAGCTACTATACATTTATCCATGGTGTGTGCAGGTTTTTAGATAATATTACTTCTATTTAAAACTTTGAAAAAGTTGAAAAATTCAAATACAGAGGGCTTACATTTCATTATAATCAATATCTACAGTGGCGTGCAAAAGTACCAATAGAACTTTATCACAATTTGCTATGTTGTGAAAACATATATGAAGATGATATGTTTACGGACAACAAAAAGTTACAAAAATGTGTGAAATAAAAGCAAAATTGCATACATTAAACTTTCAAATGACGGAATGCTCTCATCTTGTCCCACGATTAATTAGAGTCCGAAATCTGTCGAAAGACCTAAAGTGTGCAAAGTTAAACTCACTATTCAGTTTTTTTTATGAAAATCTAAATAATTTGCTTTTGATTTCACTTCATGTTGAGGTCTTACAAAAATAATCCACAACAATCCAAAAGATAATATTTATGGTGGTTATAGATAGATGGATAGATAGATACTTTATTGATCCCCGTAGTGTCCAGGTGTCCAGTTGCAGCAGAAACACATTCATCCACACAAACAAAACAAATAAATACGTCTAAAAATAGCTAACAATAGTATTAAAATGCAACAGCAGAGAGGTGGTGCAGCCACTTGGTTGGGACCATTCTCTCTGTTCTGGTCCAGAGTAAATTGCTGAATGCTTTGTTAGCAAAAAAAATAGAATTCCTCCAGTGGATTTCTGTTTGATGACAAAACGTACAAAACTTTATTGTATGACATGTAAAATGCTGTTTATTTTTCTGCTTATTAGTGAATACTAGAAAATTAATCCCATTGCATGTCCCTAATTTTATGGGTGCTTTCAAAAATAGCCTCAAAAGACCAGTTATGCTCATCTCAACAGAATAACGCTAAACCAGATACACTCAGGATTAACCACATGACCTCCCTCCATAAATGTGAACAAATTGAAGCCAAAAGCATCCAATCTTTACCTGAGCCTGCTCCTGATTGGCCGATCCTCAGAAACAGGAGGCGGGTCAATTCTCTGGTGATCTCATTAAGTAAAATGGCTGTCATCAATCTCCCTCCTCAGGTCACTCTTGTGTCTATAAAAGGCTCCGGGCTCAAAGTTCAGCAATCTCCGCTCTGCTGCTTATTATACAGTCGCTACCTGGCCCCCTTTTGTGTCCTGCTAAAGATAAAACTCGTTTAGAAGTCCTCAAGAGAGATTCTGCAAAGAAATGTCTCAGATTTCCGAGTGCAGAAAGATAATGTCATGATCATTACTGGTGATCTTGGACTGTATTTTAAAAACTGAAATGTATTGTTTGTTGACGTAATAGGCCCATAAGTGTTGTTAGCTGATGGATTATGCACATTTCTCAAATAGTGGTTTGACATTTGTCTGTGTAGATATTTCTTTGTTTGAGAACCCAATCATTTTCACAGTATTTCCCCCTTTCCGAGAGCAATTACAATACATATTATTTTCACTTGTTAGATTTTGAGAAGATGCTAAAATTACTTCCAAGTGTAGACTATTATTGGTAAACATGAATGCAATATATTAATTATATTGCATTCATGTCTAGCCAACATTGGGCCTCATTCAAGAATAACTTCGTAAGAAACTACTCAACTTTCTTCTCAAGTTGTCCTTAAGTAGATTTCTAAGAAGTCCCCACGTGGGATTCATCAACGCACTCGTAAGGCGCTGAATTGTTCGCAGCTGTTCTCTCAGATTGATGAATCCCATTTCCTCGTAAATACAGCGCGCGTGCCAGGTGCTTCATTAGCATAGGTACTTAGCATAAGTAACCGCCCACTAATGCCCATATAAGGGACTGCAGTGTCGTGTGCAGACGGCAGAGGAAACAGCAACAGGCCTAAAGCAGTTACACGGAGCAAAAGAGTCACCCTTTTTTCTTCTTTTACCAGACTGAGAATAAAGTTATAAAATGTTGATTTAGCAAAATTCAACATTTTCAAACTAGCAAAATTATGAGATTAATCTAAGAATATGATGAGATTAATCTCAAAATGTTATGAGCTTAATTTAAAAATATATGATGTATTATTTTAAAGATGAATCTCAAAATGTTTTGAGATTAATCTCAAAATATTTTGAGATTAATCTCAAAATATTTTGGACCCTGGGAGGAGATCCAGCGTGGACCAGCGCTGAGACCAATGCAGACCCGAGGAGAGACTGGAGTGACCAGCACACAGAAACCAGCGCGGACCTATAGGAGAGACCGCATAGACTGTAGTGACCTGACTGGAGAGACCGGTGCGCAGAGACCAGCGCGGACCGAAGATAGACCGCATAGACCAGACTTGAGAGACCAGCGCGGACCCGTATGGATCCAGGAGCATGCAGCACGGACCCGTATGGAGAGAGACCAGTGCAGACCCGTATAGATCCATGGGAGAGACCAGTGCAGACCCGTCTAGATCCATGGGAGAGACCAGTGCAGACCCGTATAGATCCATGGGAGAGACCAGCGCAGAGACTCAGCGCGGACCCAGTAACCTCCTGCAGCAGCAGTATATATGCCGTTGTTCTGTGGCCCGTGGATAAAGAAATGCCCCCTATAAATAGGAAGGGGTCACTAATACACGGCAAGATTTCCAATGTATTTGATAAAGCGTTGGCACATTTCATTTCAAAATGAATTAAAAAGTAGGCCAGATCTGCAGTGAAAAAGGCGGTATATAAATAAAGATTACTAATAAAGATTACTACAAATAAATAAATACATACATCGATATGACGGACATATCACTGGAATGTTGTATTTTTATTAAACTTCACCAAAGAGGACAACCCCGGCGTGTGAACATGTCGGCACTGAATGCGTACGAGTGCTCCTGAGGACTCGTAGGATTTGTACTTGCCCAAGTGAAATTCTGGTTACGAGAAATATTCGTGAATGCCACTTTCTTCGTAAAAACCGCGTAAGTAGGATTTACGTACAAATCTGTTCCTAAGAACCGTTCGTGAATGAGGCCCATTGTGCCTTCAAACACCAATGACGTTTGTAACTATATGATTTATGGTTTTAAAGCTGGGGTACCTAAACCACAAACAAATGGAATAACATAATCCATCTATATAGTTCCTCGCTCACATGCACTTGTACTTTATATATTTAAATACGATTTTCCAGTATAAAAGTGAAACCGCCCTCGCTTACCTCTCAGGCCAAAGCATTAAATGATGACTCACAGGGCTCTTTATAATATATAACAATGTTTTATAACAAGACGATAAGACAGTATATTGTGGTCTGAATTGTTGGTAAGTTAGGTACCCTAGCTTTAATTATGGATATATATCAACACTTATGGACATTGGTCAACTCCCCCATATGGACCAATACCTATGTGTTTTGTATTATTTGTGTTTGAACGGTTTCATTCTCTGATCTGTGTTGGCGATTACAACGGTTTAGTTAAGTCCTCGGAGATAACTACTCTTGTGATTGATGTTGGGCTGTGCAAAAATATACATCGTTGATTTGATATTGGCCTCTATACCTGCCCCTTCCTTTTTGCGGTGCTCAATTTGAAACATCCTTCACAAAAGACTTGAATCAAAAATCTTGTAAACATTTTGTAATCTTTCTGGTGCTATTGCGTTGTCTGGAACCACACTGTCTGGTATTCAACTTCTTTATCTTTT